CCCCCCCCCCGAACAAACCCAGATTCGGATTTCACCCTAAGTTTAGCCCATGCAACAAACTTTGTCAAAAGAAAGCACTATCACTGTACACAATTAACGGTCAGACGCCCCTAAAATTGGGTTTATATTTTTTGGCATTGATAGAGCATGGACCAACTATGTCCGAAGAAAGAAGTATGTCTATGATATATTAAAAAAGCTAACAACGAGTTCTATGGTTATTGAGAGAGTGTCAGAAACCAAGTAAGCTCCTCTATTTTGTTCTTTAACAGGTAAAGATGTTCAAACTTGTGACACCTCGAGAAATTTAAAACAGCACTCAATAATTACACTACGCGAATTTGAGTAATAAAATAAATAAAGCACTTTTGATTTATCAAGACTGGAAAGCATTTAATAACAGCTAAGGGGAACGTTTTGGTAAGGGGAACTTTGATATTTTCCTTTACTCAGATCTATAAAAAAAATGAAAATCGTTTAGTGATTGTACCACCGTAACAATTTTTGTGTTTGTAATACACAGTGAAACTTTATTTCGACAACATCTGGTGCATAAAATTTAATTCAGGACAGAATCATAAGACAAATCGTGAGTCTATAAAATGTGAGTTTAAATCATGAATCCTTTATTTTGATATATATTTTTTTGTCTTCAAGCACAATAATCGTACGTCAATTTGAAAAACACAATATAGGCATCGTGTAACAATCATAAATGTAAATCACATGTCACTTAGCAGTGTCATGATTGCGCTACATAGTTACTGCTAATGCTCTTTTAAATTCAACTCAATCTTAAGAGATATTTCATGCTTATCCAGAAAATGAATCAATACCACATTACTACAAAGGACGTACACAAGGAAGACTGAGAACCTAAAACAGTATTCCAATGACAAGGGCTTATCTGATCTATAACTTTATAACACAAGTTGATATAAAACCATTTGACAGAGCATTTATACGAAATGTAATAAGTCACTTAATATTGGTACCGACTGTTTACACATACAAAAATGTTATCAACACACATAATTTTGAAAACGGAGAATCCACAGACTTCAAAATTATCATAATATATGAAAAACGCACATTCCAAATTAATTATATGCAATTTAATATCGATAGAGACGTGACCGAAAGTCCACGAGACCGTAAATAACTTTACGAGACCAGCTTTGTAGTCTCGTGACCCTTCAAAATTCAAGAACTTTGGGCTGTCGTCGACTTTCAGCCCAATGGGCCTTAAGTAGCCTCAATATACTCTCCTTTTAACCCTGACAACAATATATATATATATATATATCAATTTTGTTTTACACATAAACATTTGATATGCATTAACACTGATTAATCTGGTATTGGATCAATAACACGAGCAGTCATGACAATATCAATGTAAATCTAATATTAAACAGTTTCACTTTTACAATGAATGAATACGGACATGGATTTATAAGAAGATTTTTCTTGTAAAAAGACCATTTAACAAAGGTGCTAAGAATACGCGTAACCGAATAAGTAAAGTTCTATACAGTTATGTAATTAGAGGCCGCTTAATTATCAGTTATTGAGAGTATGAGAGTTCCCTCATACATGACCATTTTACACAAATATATTCAATACATTACAAAAAGCACGAATCACGAAGTTACACTGGTAGTTGCGGCATTTCAATTGATAGCAAGTAGCAACTTTGATTTAGTGTTGATAAGTAATTTTCGACAGCACGTAGACAAGTCAGGTACTCGATTCATTTTACGATCATATTGAACGAGTAAGATACCATAGGAACAGTAATATAGTACTTGTAGCAATACAAAAGCATTACATCAATGAAATATCAATGGTAAAAATACTTTAAATCAACTGTATAACACATACATTAAATAAGATTATAAGATGATGACGTAGATCCTAATCAAATGATTGGTTGAAAGCGTACACGTGACCAGGCATTTATTTTGCCTAACGAGTAATTTGGGTAATGACCGGTTATTACCCAGTAGTAATGACCGGTCATTACCACATCTAGCTAAAATTAGCGCAAAATAAGCGAGACACAAGTCAGAGGTCCAATATAAGACGCGCGCAAGGCAAGGTACGCCTCAATTTGCGCTTATTTTAAATCGTGGGTTATGTAAATGAGAATTTAAACCATGGGTTAATTAGATTTAAACCTCCTTTGTGAATTCGGGCCTTTGAGTTTGAGATGAAGGCGATTGATCAAATAACAAGGATCTACGTTATAATTTTATAAAACAAATAATACACATCATTTTGTTCGGGCATTAGTATAATTACCCACACTCGGTACCTTTGAAAAAGTCTAACACGCCCTCGGCTATCGCCTCGGGCGTGTTAGACTTTTCCAAAGATACCTTGTGTGGGTAATTCTTACTAATGCCCTCACTGCTGTGTATTATTTGTATAATATTAGGGTGTTTAAAGAAGTTACTGTATACATCGTACGTTATATAGATAAGGGAGAAATATAAGATTCATATAGTAAGCAAATATCAATCGACTACGAGGGTAATGGTGCAAACTATCATCGCCGAGGTGATCTCGGGGCTACTATCTTCCCGAGCCGCAAGGCGAGGGAAGATCGTAGCCCCGATATCACCGAGGCGATGATAGTTTGTATCCATTGCCCGAGTAAAGGAGGTTAATATTTGTTTTATATCCCACATCGGCAATAAGGTCTATTTAAAGTGAATTATACATAATTAAAACAATTTTGCAGACAGTTTAGCTTCAGCTAGATTTTACAAAGCACAACATGCGTACATGTAATACAGTCGATGCGCGCTCATTTGACATTGACGTTGACTTTGACATTTCGCGTAACCTACTTTGCTATGCTTATTCAATGCGCAAGTCGCGCAAGTGGGGCAGCAGCAAAAAATTACTTTACAAAAAAGACCTATCTCAGGTAGATAGTACTTATCTATACCTTTTTCGTGCTCTGTACAATCGCATGCAAACAACTATACAAGAGGGATATAATTATGCTTATAATGTAACAAAGCAAATATAGTAAACAAATCACTAAAATATGTGTTACAATAATATATTAATATAGCGCTGTTGATTAATGTTATTGTGATTTCAATAATGATTGAAAGTAACATTACAAACAATAGTTTGAATTGCATACTCGGTTATGGTAGATCACTATGAATTCATTTAGTGAATGAAATGTGTCATAAAAACCGTGAAAGGAACAATACAACAGACATATATAATATATACGAACACAAAAAAATTAAATATATCATAGTAAGATTATTTAACGTAGTAATTTCGTTGCACGTTACGTATAAAAAAGAAAACAAATACGGTGCATATTCGCTTTTATTAGTCCTGGTGACAATGTTAATATGTTTCAGCGCAGTTGATTAGTAGAAGTAGTAGAAGTAGTAGATGTAGTTTGAAGTGTATACTTGGTTATGTTAGATCAAGATCAACAATTTACATGAATGAGATGTGATATAACATATATACTGTAAAGGGAATGGCACGATAAACACATACGATGAAATAATTAAAGTTTTAAATTAGAAGTTGCATTGTACGTTAGGGATAAAAGAGGGATAAAAGGTAGATAATTATACGATATGGATACATTTCAAAGATACACAAATCAAGTATAAGAAATTATTAGACATTTATTATGTATTAGCCATTAGTGCATTTGATTAAAGTTTTAGTTATTCATAGTTTAAAACAAGTATTAATAACATACTAATAGCAGCAGCAGCAATATTAGTTAGCAGCGCTGTTGATTAAAACATGTTATTTAGTAATGCAACTTGCAAGGCAATACTGATTATACATCATATAACCATGGCATACGGATATTAAGCAATTCATACAATACTACGTAAAATTAGTATTAGTACTAAATTATACAAAATGAGTTGAAATGGTATATTTAATGTATGATACATTAAAGGTAATACAAAGTTTCGGGAAATTTTGAAAATTGGGTGGAAAGTGAATCTTTACAATTTTATATATTTTGATGCCCCTGTTGATGTATTATAAGCACTAAAAAAAATTAGCCCCCAAAAGACTTCTGTTTTCGAAAAAAATTTAATATAAAAATTTACCGGTGCTCCCGGTAAATTTTCATAAATTTCAGATAGCGCCTATGGCCGTTCAATGGTAGCTGCGACCATGAAAATCTCAGAATATGTTGTTGTGATATACAATTTCCAAACGAGAATAGCTAATCGGTCGATTTTAGTCAAGAAACATCGTTTCATAGCTAAATTAATATCTTGACCTTGAGAGGGAGCTATACAACATAAAGAGTTTATTATTTATTATTTCATAACTTTAGACTCGATTTCAACCGCGACAACGATCAATGGATATCGTAGGAACGCATATGCTTCTAATATGTTCATTTGAACCGAATTCATGACCCCATACCAAAACTTTGTAATACCTTTAACAGTATAATGGTTCATTACAGTGATGTTAGTAGTGCTGCTTTAGTGTTGGTTATAAATGTATCGTTGGTATTAGAAAATCAGTATTGTTATTAGAATATCGTCATTAGGAATCATATTGTTTTAATGCAATTAAGTTTAAATAATACATGTTGGTGACCAGGCGCGTAAACAGGGGGGGGGGGGTGGGGGTGTTTGGGGGGGGGGGGTTAAACCCCCTTTGGTATTTTTATGTGTGTAACCCCCCCCCCCTTTGGATTTTTTAAATTTTAAATCTTTTTTTAATTTTATATTTAAAAAAAAAAAAAAAAAAAAATTATTCCCATGTCTGACCTAAAATGGTGACCTTACCCCCCCCCCCCCCAGTGGAGCGAAATGTCAAATTTCCAAATTTCGAGACCAACAAAAAAAAAAAGTGTCCTCTTACCACCCCCCCCCCCCCCCCCCCCCCCCCCCCCCCGCTTATTCAGCGGCTGGCTGGGTCGTTGCGGCCCGATTTATAAATGTTAACCCCCCCCCCCCTTGAAAAAATTCTGCGTACGCGCCTGTTGGTGACACACCTTAAAGAATATGGAAAGTAAATGGAATTACATAGCAAGTGAGATTTAAACATATATGAAAATTACGAGGATAAATACGTACGTTTACATTATAACAATAAATATTTAAAATAGAAATATGATTATCTTCGCTGAAAAGGAATTTTACAATTATAATTCGTAAATGAAATATGCTAACATTTTTCTTGACGTACATTAATTTTATTATGTTAACAAAATATTCAAATAATGCATCCATGCAGAGTGCCATATAAAAGCACTTAATACAGTGTTATTCTCTCTCACTTAAAACTGCCTCCAATGTCTCGAATGTTTGTAGATGTACTTCATTGAAAATAACTAATGCAGAATCCTCTTTCAAGCAACAGTTTATGACATTATTTTGGTTGTGCAAGATTCAAAGCTTTCTTTCAAATTTATTTCATTTTTGGCTTCTCCCTTGTTCGTGCGTGGGCGTCGAAGTCCTGATATTTTTTGTGTGAAGAGCAATTGTCATTGACATGGATGTCATCTAGCTTGTAGCTCATGTTTGCATCTGCAGACTTAAGTTGTGATCTCTGCGAAGCATCTAAGATTACAGTTCACTCGTCGTCTTCTTGGCAGCGAAGAGACAAAGGGTGTATCATCTTGCTGTACATAAAATTATGGGGGAAAAATAAAAAGAGATACCAGATTATATGATCATCACTGTCACTTGCGATATAGAATATCATCCAGTATTAGACAAATGCAATCAACGCGAAATACACCACTACGATTTAAATACATCCCCATTTACGTGCAATATGCTTGAAACAGTAGAAGACAGACAAATTTCAAATGACTTTAGCAAAGCTCAGTTTTCTCGTTATAAGTTTAATTATAGCCCACAACAAGACAACGAAAATGAATAGACATTGGATGAACAGATAAACTGGTCATCTACCCACTAGGTGCACACGACGTGGACATGAAACTAAATAAAGATATTCGTTAAAATATTATTTGAAACTTAAATATGTAAGAAGAGTTTCAACGAAGAGAATATTAGATTATAATTATGAGACAGAAAACAAAATATTCATATCGTTATACTTACTATATCTCCGGAGCTATCACTTGGTCGTCGCCCCGGCTCGGTCGTCTTTACCGTGGTGAAGCTCCGGTTGCCGTCCATGCCGTCGCCCTGGTAGGCTCTATCCTGATGATCATCGTTGCCGTCATCTTGTTCGTTGCTCTGGTTGCCATCACCCTGGTAGTCACGCTGGCCGCCGCCCTTCTTCCCTCGCTGAAAATGTAAACGAATAGGCACTGTTATAATCCTGTATAATTAACATGTGTGATTTACTGGTGGAGAATGATGATCTAGAGGCTTCAATTTTTCACCAATCATGGATTAAAGGCCTGCATTAATTATGTTAAGCTTATTAAGCTCTAGTTTGACAGCCTTTGAAATACAACAATGAAAATATCGGAATTAGGAAATAATTTTCGAGAATTGCAGTGTAGTTGGAAAAGGTCAGAACAACAAGTAGGTCTCAAAATGTGGATTTCAAAATATCAAACGCAATTGTATTCCTCTTCAATGATAATTTCCATCAAGTTTCTTGTATTTCGATAACACAATTTATTTCCGATAATCCTGCTCTATTACATACCTGGTTACTACCGTGGTCGCCATCAGTCTCGTAATCGCTTGCTCACCATCACCATAGTCGTAACCTGGTAGCCGTCGTGGTCGCTCTGTAGGTCACCTTCTTCGCTAAATCGTTGTCGTATCCCTGGTAAAATTGAAAAATGCAATGCATTTTTATTACGTTCATTCTGCGGTTATAAAGAATAATACTTGGAAAGAGCTAGAATGAGATCTCTCTAAACAGAATTAGAAATCTCGATCTCGCTGCACCTCTATTCCGAATGTTTTTGTTGAAAAGAGGCTACAACATATTCCACTATATCTTGCTCTTCTGTATTACAATTTACTTTTAAAGGGTTATTATTAATGTCCTTTTTCTGCAGGTTCATAACTCCAAAGCTTCATTGATCCGAAGTTTTAATAAATCTAATTGCTTGTTATTCGGAAGGTTCATCATTAAAAGCATAATTACATAATTATAAAATGTATATACAGATCGAGCGCTATATCATTTCCGGAAAATACGAACCAACAGGTCGTAGCTGCTCTACTCACCATCGCCTCGGTTCGTCAGCTCGTCGCCTGGTGGCCGTGTTTGTCACATATACAGTACAAGTGGTAGCCCTGGCAGTCGTTCTCTTTCCCTTGCAGCATTCTAAAGGATTGAAAAACATTCCAATACTTATAAATTTATTACGGAATCATGAGAATATTAACGTCATAATATAAGCAGGGGTGGTATTTTTTTTTCCTCACCCCCCCCCCCCATTATCATTCTTTTTATTTGGTTATAATTATTTGGCCCTGTTTTTCATTCCAATTAATATATGCTTTTCATACTTCTTTCTAATTTGTAGCCTCTTATTTTAAGGTACTTTCCTTCCTTCTTATTACATCTTTTCACTTAATATCTCTTCATAGTAGTTTTAAGCAGATAACCAGACTGTCCCCTAGTGTTTATAATGTATGTGAATAATACATTATATATTTTTATATCTCTATATATTCATCCAAGTCGTGATAAACATCATCCATAAAGCTTCTGTAGCCGTATTGCCTCTGCTTTTAGTATTAACTTCGACATATGAAATTTGCTTAATTTTCACTTTACTTTTTGACAATTAAATTATCATTAATTTGTCAGTACCTACCTGTTGATACTTACCCATTTATGAACATGTACACATTTTCATATTTAATAGCATGCAGATGTCGATGTAGGGTATGAATCCACGTCGAGGCGTTAATGTCATTTACATTTTGCCCTCGGAGATCTTAAAACATTTATTGGTGAGACTTCATTGCCGCACGAAGATCTGAAAACAATAATTATTGGTGAGACTTCGTAGCCGCACGAAGATCTGAAAACAATAATTGTTGGTTAGACTTCGTTGCCGACACGGAGATCTGAAAACAATAATTGTTGGTGAGACTTCGTTGCTGACACGAAGATCTGAAAACAATAATTATTGGTGAGACTTCGTTGCCGACACGGAGATCTGAAAAACAATAATTATTGGTGAGACTTCGTTGCTGACACGAAGATCTGAAAACAATAATTATTGGTCAGACTTCGTTGCCGACACGGAGATCTGAAACAAATAATTATTGGTGAGACTTCGTTGCAAACACGAAGATCTAAAAACAATAATTATTGGTGAGACTTCGTTGCCGACACAGAAATCTGAAAAACTATTATTATTGGTGAGACTTCGTTGCCAACACAGAGATCTGAAAAACAATTATTATTGGTGAGACTTCGTTGCCGACACAGAATCTGAAAAAAAAATTAATATTGGTGAGACGTCGTTGCCGATATGGAGACCTTAAAAAAAATAGTTATTGGTGAGACTTCGTTGCCGACACAGAGATCTGAAAAACAATTATTCGTTGCCAATACGAAGATCTGAAAACAATTATTATTGGTGAGACTTCGTTGCCGATACGAAGATCTGAAAAAACAATCATTATTGGTGAGACTTCGTTGCCGCTACAAAGATCTGAAAACTATTATTATTGGTGAGACTTCGTTGCCGATACGAAGATCTGAAAAAACAATCATTATTGGTGAGACTTCGTTGCCGACACAGAGATCTGAAAAACAATTATTATTGGTGAGACTTTGTTGCCGACACGGAGATCTGAAAACAATAATTATTAATGAGAATTCGTGGCCGACACAGAGATCTGAAAAACTATTATTATTGGTGAGACTTCGTTGCCAACACAGAGATTTGAAAAACAATTATTATTGGTGAGACTTCGTTGCCGACACAGAAATCTGAAGAAAAAAATATTATTGGTGAGACGTCGTTGCCGATATGGAGACCTAAAAAAAATAGTTATTTGTGAGACTTCGTTGCCGACACAGAGATCTGAAAAACAATTATTATTGGTGAGACTTCGTTGCCAATACAGAGATCTGAAAAACAATAATTATTGGTGAGACTTCGTCCCCGATACGAAGATCTGAAAACAATTATTTTTGGTGAGACGTCGTGGCCGATACGAAGATCTGAAAACAATTATTATTGGTGAGACTTCGTTGCCGATACGAAGATCTGAACAAAATAATTATTGGTGAGACTTCGTTGCCGCCACAAAGATCTGAAAACTATTATTATTGGTGAGACTTCGTTGCCGATACGAAGATCTGAAAACAATAATTTCTTGAGAAATTTGGCCAGACTTCGTTGCTGATACAGAGATCTGAAAATATTAATTATTGGCCAGACTTGAGACGTTTAATGAAGGTCATGACCTTTTGATTTCACTTCAGCAATTCCGATATGATATTGCTTTTCTTTGAATTATCTTGTCTTGCAAATATTTTTGTTTTGCAAGTACATGTAAAAAAAATATTGCTTGGAACAACTGCAGAATACCCCGCCACACAAATAACCCTACCCTTATCCTATATCTAGTCCTAATCATAACCCTCACCCTAACCCTAACTCTAACCAGAAGGGAAGCTTAGCCTGAAAACTATATTCTAATGATGCGTGGTATAGGGTATTCTGCAGTTGATACTAAAAATGTATCTACCCAATACTGTACCGATATCAATCCTACCAATAATGATAAAATTTTTGATACAATTATTATCAAATCAGTCATTACCTATTAATCATTTAATTATCCATGTCTAATGCTGGGATAGCATACTATGTTTGTATCTATGAAAATCTTCTAATTCTAAATCTATGCTTCTTCGTATTATCATTAATTACCCATGCATTATCTAATCATTTATCAAATTATCAATCGTATTATCAGTTCCTAAGGCTAGGTTATCAATATTACTATACTCTCTCTATAAAATATCTACCTTGTCATTTAGACCTATTATTCTACTTCATGATAACTGGAATTTTTCATTTTTACTGCTTATAATTATGCCTTACATTTATTGTAGTTCTTTTATTCTATATTTCAAATTAAATCGATACATATATAACGTAAAAGCATAGTTTACTGAAACAATAACACAATATCTTATGCCTTACTTTATTGTGTAATAGTACACAAATCTATTGATATCGGTACAGTATTGTGTAAGCATTGATTTGCATATGATCAGGAAAGACCAGAGTAAAAAAGCGGATCGCAAAAACTTCATAAATTGACTGTGCAAATCGATGCTATTTAACAGTATTTCTAGTAAGTAATAATCTAATAATATCCATTAGGTCTAAAAATATTGATTTCACTTAATCCACCGTAATATCACGATAAACATACCAATAAAAGTAATTCAATAAAGATCAAATCAAATATCAAGACGAAAATATTCATGTTAAAATTCCAAAGTAAGTATAATAATATCTTACCATACTTACAATAGAAGATATTCTGGATTTTGAATCTTAGTTGAAAATTGATGGGTGTTTCTTCTCACACAGATACCAATCGCTTGAAGAACGTTGCCGCGATGTGACGTGTTCGCAAAGGAATAGGAAGTTTATAGTTGTCCATTTCCAACCCAACAATCTTCGTGATAATGGAATCTACAATATTCTAAGATGGGTAAGGGTAGATTAAAACTTGGCCCTTACACTACTTTAATATTAATTAAGGGCCTATGTGTATCAATGTTGTCCTAACGTTTAGATTTGGCCAAGCTCAAACCCATCCTTACCCATCTCAGTAAATCATAGAGCTCCATTAAGATCACAAGTGATATTGCTGAATTCTCTACAGACAACTTCACTTACCCCGACATCTATTTGTTCAGTCTCAGCATTCTCCGGTTCAGTCTGGCAGGAATATAATCCAAATGATTGAATATCCATCCAAAAATATTTCCTTGCACACACAATAAATAGGATCCAATAGAATTCCTCAGGCAATCGTCGATTCAGGTCCAATATATACATTATTCATAAACAAGTGTTCAGCAATGTTATTCCATATCGTGATCTTGGTAGTAGAAATCGTCAAAGTTTGCATTTAATCTTGAAGCCTTTCTGCACGTCACAGACCAATCAACAAACCTTTTGCAAGGTCCGAATCAGTCAGGACGATATTTGGCTTTGACGAATTCTGTAGACGATTTTGACATCAGGTCCTTCTTAGTTATGCTTTCCTCAGTTAATGGTGATATATGAAAGAATGGTTCATCTTATTACCATCAGTTTCCATATCTGTCGAGATCTGTCTGCTTCTGAAGCACGCATCGAAATGTTCACATGGAGATAGATGATTGAAAATTTAGCAAAATACGCAATTTACGTCGGTGCTGTTTATCAAGTTTGAGGGTCTGTTCCTGAATTGAACATATTATTAAGTCACAGGACCTTCGAACTGTATATTTCAGCTGAAGAGATGGCGTTTGGATTTCAAAGTCGGTTGAAACATGCAACATGTGTCCCGAATGTCCCGAATGTCGAACAGAGTCCTGAGAATTGTGTTGCAGAAAAGTCCAATCATCGTTGTCGAGAATCCAATCGTAACGATAACATAATACGGGATTAATCACACTCAGTCCTTTATGTCCAGAAAAGAGTTCAAACTTGATATATGTGTGCCGAATAGATGATAGATTCCGAAGTTGGTTGAATGCAGTCACAAAAATCCCAGTGTCTTGAATATACAGGTTAATGTCTCCACGTTGCAGCAAGTACACTTGTGTCAATAACCATGCACTGTCCAAGGGACATCCTTTTCTTCATAACAAGAAGTTCATATCCAGAAAGTACGGCGAAGAGGTTAAACTCGAGATGGAAGTCCCAGGTTGGGGCATTGCATTCCCGATGTGCGTGGCGACCCATTGGCTTGAAGAAGATGTTCCTGTATATCAGTTCGGCCTCATCCTCTACCTGTATACATGGCATGAAAATATAATAAAAGCCAATGAAAATGTAATAAAAGCCAATGAAATTCATTTGATATATTTAATCGAAATTAAAATGTTTAAATTTATTAGACCAGGGGGGTGTTTCATAAAGCTGTTCGTAAAGTTACGAATAACTTTACGAACGACTTGTATATGAAAAGCCAAATGGGATGCTCAATCATTTTTGATTTTTATTTATTAAGTTGAACTGTGCAGATGTAGATTAACATTCTTATTATAACAAACAATTTTAATGCAAAGTATATTTTT